GTTCTCTCCGTCTCACACCTTGCTGCATATGTGGAGCCAAATCCGTCAATGAGTTTGACTTAAAATCATGCCCCCCCGCCCCAAAGACCCTTTAACCCTAACAGTACCGGGCGTTGTTTGGCTTAGAGTACTCAGTACTACAAAATACTATGTAACACTCTGAGCCTGAAGGACCTAGCACTACAAATTACTATTTCTGGCTAGGTTTATTCCATTGTTACTCGTACAGAGAACAATGAAACCATGCATTCATAGTGCCACAGCATTGTATGGTACATTGTCTTCTCGATTGTATTTTATGGCTTCAGAGAAGAATAATGTCACGTCCTCTTACAAGCGACAGGGCTGAGTACTACACTTTACTACTAAGTAGTACTTTGTAGCATTCGGGACTGTTAGGGTTAAGACAACAAAATGAGAGCAATTTTTTAATGTAATGTCACAACTATTCCTTGAAAAAATTCAGGTTAGCAATTTAAAAAAATTCTGAGAGGGATTCTACCTCCTTTTCTGGAAGTATCCAAAGGAGTTGAGATCGTAAGCACTGGACAGGGAGACTGCATTGCTCTGCCCCTTGTACAGCACGGTTATGGCAAACAGCTTCATCCTTGTGGTTGCAGGTGGTTCACTTCTCAAGCTAACTCCCAAGTAATGACTGCCTGTGGCTCCTGCCTCCTGGTGTTTACTGGCAAGACTGGGTGTCCTCCCAAAATTCACTGCCAGAGACAAGGACAGAAAACAATTTTGAATCTTTGCAAAGGAAATTTGCGTACTTCAAAGTACGTATTTCAGTTTTCGTCTAGTTTTTCTGTGCTTAGGTTCTGTGTACTGAAGAACATTTCGTAAGCCCTTGCTTTCTGACAGGTCACTGAAAAGCACACGGAGCTTCAAATCTTGGAGTGCTTTTAAGGTTTTTTAGCAGCACAAGAGGGAACAAACACTGCTATACCAAACATCATACAAATATAACATGGTTTTCTGAAGTACACAGTCTAATTTAGCTCTATCCCTGAGGTAGTGGGTGTCGACAAACTAGTTCCTAATTACCTCTTTTTGTACCAAAAAATCCTCGTAAGAAAAATAAAATCATTGCTTGGACCCATTAACAGGAAGACGTTTTGTATTGGACAAACAAAATTTTCAAATGTCATAGAAAAAATCCATATATATGTATGGACATCACTTGACACCCTGTGCACAAACCCCTATAGGGTTATAGGTCACTGCAGGGAAAAAATGGTGGTGCCTGTATACAGTGTATATGGAATCTTTCCAATTTTTCATACACATGACGTTTTAAAATGGGTGCTTGTCCAACCTGTTTCATTTTTCAAAGGACAGCAACACAATGACATCAGCATGAGACAACAGTTTAGTATCCATGACACAAAACTAACGCCAAGTTCCAACAATTCTATGTAAATTTTAATGGCACTCTTTCATAAATTCTGCTGGGCAATGTGGGCATGCTGAACAAGCAGTCAGTGTGGCAGTTACATGTGTGACAGCTGGGCCTGCCTGCCTAGGCTACATGTACATGTACGTTGGTCTTGGAAGGAATTCATGACTGTCTCTGACTGTTACAGCAAAAGGAGGATTTAAACGGATTCACCATGGAGCAAGGAAGACACTTCACTCATGACACTGACACACGATCTGATGACAGCTTCGTATGTCTGGACCACGGACATGAATAAATGAGCGAGGGCGCTGTTTATTTGGGAACTCATTTTCTTACATAAGAAACTGTGATTAAAATTCTTTTTTTTTGGCAAGCTGTAGCTCCTCTATTTAATTTCCAATGTCAAAGTTTTTGAAATTTGAAGTATAGCCAGCGTTTGATTCATTGAAATAAGGCACAAATAAGAACAAAGATTTTACAGAAACATAAATTTTAAACTTTCAGTTAAAATCCACACTCGTATACAAAATAATCACAGTTTGCTCTGCATTACGTGTGTGCAAAAACATCTCAAAAATCCCAACTTCAGTCCGATGGAATCCAAATTTATATCAAACTGAATATTTCTTACCACATCCTCTTTAAGACAACATCAAAAATAAAACAAACAAAATAATTTGGGAGTAATTGCAGAATACCCCACCTCTCTAAAAAAAAACGACTCCTGGAATGACTGGTTACATGGGTAAAAGGTGAAAATCCCTTGAGAAGAGAATGACACTTTGACCTTACCTGGCTATGAGGTTGATTGTGCGGGGTGGCGGTATTTTGCTATTGAGTAGAATTCAAAAATTTATTACCTTCCCTACCACATGTACTGTTTGCATAGGCCTACCATGTCGTGGTCACACATGCCCTGTATTCCTCCATCATGTCCATGGCCTTTTCTGAATTCACGAACACAGCGCCAGGGGCCTGTTTGTTTCGCTCGGATCCAGATCGTAATCAGTGATCCAACGTTGGTTCACTGACACCAGAACCAGCCCAATGGATAGTACGAACCAGCTTTTGGATCACTGATCGAGATCCAGTTTGACATATTTGAAACAAACAGGCCCTCCGTGTGTGTTCTTTATTTCCAGATTCTATAGTTTGCCAAAACGCCGATCTGCATACTGCACAACCTGACAACACACATTTTGCATCATACATGTACAAACTTGAAGGACTTACAGTTTAGTCTTGACTGTAGAGTAGGAGACTTGTACCAGATATAATCAGATCAAGATTTAATTCAACTCAAAATATACCAATACATACAACCAACTGAATCTAAGAATCCTGTCGGAACGAAGAAAAGTTCCTATGCTTATGTGTACAGCATGATGGGTGCAGTACACGGGTACAGAACACGTCACTAGTTACTTTAGTCTGGTACCAAGATGACTAATAAGCAACCGTTTGTTATACATTAAAACGCAAAAGGATCTAGACGAAATTGGAGTTGGGGTGTTTCTATGGAGCGCGAAAGTGTTAAGTGTAAAAAGGCACAAAAATAGCATCCATAAAGATGTGCGTGCTCGTCGGGGTGGCGCACCTCGAAAAATAAATTTCAAATTTGAATTGGCAATTTGTGGGAATTTTTTGTTAAAAGCTTTCCAGTGGGACACTACTTGAAAAACATCGGCCCATGAAAAGTGATCAATGGCAATTAATTTCATTTTTTAATTCGAATGAGATGGCCGGCAAGAGCTTTATATGGGCAAGCGCTTTTGCGGTTGCATTTTATAATTTCGACCCTGCTCACACTTTCAACATGTATCTGTAGATGTGTGTTTATGTAGATGTATCGATAAATACTGATGTACGATTTTGCGTCTGTCTGAGAAAAAAAGACGGAAACAGAGCCGAGATAGACACCAAGAAAACAGCGGATAGCACTTGGAAATGGTACCAAAGGTGGATCTATAGTCTTTTGC